GGGATTACAGGCTTGAGCCACCGCACCCGGCCGATTGCCAAGATTTCTAAAACAGACTATGAAAGAAAGAAAATATTGATAAACTGAACTTCATGAAAACTAAGAATATCTGTTCATCAAAGATACCGTTTACCGGATAGAAAGGCAAGCCATCGACTAAGAGAAGAAGTCTATCTTTATTTATATATTGTTATATATATATAAAATAACACCTAAAAATTAATTTAAAAATCCAACTGTCAGCCAGGCATGATGGCTCACACCTGTAATCCCAGGACTTTCGGAGGCCGAGGTGGGCAGATCACCTGAGGTTGGGCGTTGGAGACCAGCCTGACCAACATGGAGAAACCCCATCTCTACTAAAAATACAAAATTACCTAGGCATGGTGCCACATGCCCGCAACCCCAGGTACTCAGGAGGCTGAGGCAGAAGAATCGCTTGAACCTGGGAGGCAAGGGTTGTGTTGAGCTGAGATCACACCATTGCACTCCAGCCTAGATAACAAGAGCAAAACTCCATCTCAAAATAAATAAATAAATCCAACTGTTAAAAATGAGAAAAACTTCAGTAATCACCTGACTCCAAAAAATCACCAAGTGGTCAAAATGCATACAGAAAAGTGCTCAACATCATTATTTATTAGAGAAATATGAATTGAAACAAGACACCCACCAGGACACCTACACACCCACCAGGACACCTACACACCCACCAGGACAGGTATAATTAAAAGACTGATACCACCAATTACTGGGGCATGTGAAGCTACTGGAACTCTCAGATATTACTGTGGGAGTATAATTTCATACAACCACTTTGGAAAACTGTTTGGCAGCATGTACTCAAGCTGAACGTATGTGCCTACCCTACAACCTAGCAGCTGAATTCTTGGCCATATCCTCATGAGGAAAAAAGTGCATATATACAACCACATATTTTTATTTTATGTATTTATTTATGTATTTTGAGACAGAGTTTTGCTCTTGTTACCCAGGCTGGAGTGCAATGGCAACATCTTGGCTCACTGCAACCTCTGCCTCCTGGGTTCAAACAATTCTCTGCCTCAGCCTACAAAGTAACTGGGATTACAGGTGCCCACCACCCCGCCCGGCTTATTTTTGTATTTTTAGTAGAGACAAAGTTTCACCATCTCAGCCAGGCCGGTCTTGAACTCCTGACCTTGTGATCCACTCGCCTCAGCCTTCCAAAGTGCTGGGATTATGGGCATGAGCCACCATGTCTTGCTTTATTTGTTTGTTTGTTTGTTTGTTTATTTAATTTAAAGACGTAATCTCGCTCTGTTGCCCAGGCTGGAGTGCAGTGGTATGATCTCAGTTCATTGCAACCTCCACCTCCTGGGTTCAAGGGATTCTCCTGCCTCAGCCTCCCCAGTAGCCGGGATTACAGGTGCCTGCCACCATGCCCGGCTAAATTTTTTTTGTAGTTTTAATAGAGATGGGGTTTCATCATGTTGGCGGGGCTGGTCTCTAACTGCTGACCCCGTGATCCGCCCTCCTCGGCCTCTCAAAGTGGTGGGAGCCACCACGCCTGGCCTTTTTCTTTTGGGTAATTCTGACTGGGAAACAGGCCTGAGGGACACTCTTGAGTTCCTGGAAATGTTCTATATTTTGATGTGGCTGGGGATTTCACACGTGTGAAATGTTTCTATTTCACATGGAAACATTCATTCAGCCTTATACTTAAGGTTAGTACACTTTACTGTGTGTTATACCTCAATAAAGACATTTTTAATAGCTAAATGTATTAAAGTATTAGTTTCAAAATTTGTTGGTTAGAGCTCTGACATGTTTCAGAAAACAGGGATGGATTTAAACATTAAAAAAAAAAGGCAAGGAATATGAAATAAAAGGAGTAGAATGGGATGTTTAAAGATCTGGGGTAGAAAATGAAGATATCACGTGGAGCCAGAAAATAGATGAAACTCACCAAAAACCCAGCATTAGTGTTAGGAACAAAAAAGCAGTCAACCAGAACTGGAGAAGGTGTCGCTGGTGGGCCCTGACTTCGAGGTAAAGAGACTAGATTTCAACCTGAAAGTCAACTAAAAGCTATTCATTTTCGAGCGGGGCAAGGATGCCATTGAAAACAAGCATGACAGTGGTGACAGTAATGATACATGCAACAGCTCTTCGCATTGAGCACCTGCTACGGGCCGGTTCTTCTTGTCAGCACTTCATCACTACCATCTCATTTAATCCTCATAACTGCTCTGTGAGGACTACTATAATTGCCCCAATTTTACAGAGGGAGAAATTGAAGAAGCAACTTGTAAGACTGGGAGAACAGACCAAGAGGGAGGTTGTTAGGAAATCCCTTGAGTTAAATGATTTTAAATGACCTCACAGATATTTAAATAGATCTAAGGCACAGGCAAATTACTTATGTGATGTAAATTCTGCAGAATAATCCAGCTCATCATAAACCCAGCAGTACCCTGGCTATAATTTTAGGGAGAAGATAAGCACATTTTCTATGTTTTCAGGTGTATAAACAACATAGAATACAAAAATTAAATTTCAAGGGTGAAAAGTGCAAAGTGGTGTACCCTGACAGGGGAGAATAAAGGTTCTTGCAATGGAACTAGCTTGAAAGAAGTTATTGGGGCAACCTATGCCCAGAGCTGCTATATTGTGAATTTCTAAGGTTTGGAAGTTTTATTTCAGGTCCTTTTAATCACTCTTGATAATTCATCTCCCTCCAAGTTGGCAATGTCAGGGCAGGCAGCAAGAGATGAAAAGGTCCAGGAAAACGTTCATTCATTCAATAAGTAAATATTTATTGAGCACATACCATATGCCAGGTATTGCTTTAGAGGCTAGGAATACAATGATAAATAAGAATCTTTGCCAGGCTTCATGAAACCTTATAATCAGAGGAGGCACACAATACACTAATAAACATATAATTTTAGGTAGTGATTACATGCAGTGAAGGGAGATGAAGCCAGGTAAGATGATGCATTTATGCAGAAGTGTGAGCCAACGCCTTTCTGAGTTGACCTTGCAGCCCTGATTTAAGAGAATGAAAGAGCAAGCTATGAGAATATGAGGAAAGGGACTCCCAGGCTGAGCAATTAGCCAGTGCAAAGGCCCTGAGGTGGGAATATACTAGGCTTGTTCAAGGAAGAGGAAGAAGGCTGGTTCGGCTGGTGCATACTGAGGAGGGGGGAATGGTAGGAAATGAGGCCCTGGAGGAAGCCAGATCACGCAGGGCCTTTTAGACCACAGTGAGGGCTTTGGGTTTTTCCTTAAGTTTGAAGCAAAGCCATGGGAGAGGCTTGAACTGGGAAGTGACTTGATCTGATTACTTTAGGAGGAGAAAGAATTCATAACAGGGCAAGAGAAAAAGAAAGGGGAGCAGTTAGGAGGCGCTTGCAGGAGAGCCGAACGGTGCCTGGATCAGTGAGGTCTTGGTGGAGGTAGGAAGAAGTGGCTGGATTCAGAAGTTAGTCTGCAGGGCCAGGCATGGTGGCTCATGCTTGTAATTCCAGCACTTTGGGAGGCTAAGATGGGCAGATCACCTGAGGTCAGGAGTTCGAGACCAGCCTGGCCAACATGGCGAACGCTGTCTCCTAAAAATACAAAAATTAGCCAGGTGTGGTAGTGGGTGCCTGAAATCCCAGCTACCTGGGAGGCTGAGGCAAGAAAATTGCCTGAATCTCAGAGGTGGAGGTTTCAGTGAGCCACTTCACTCTAGCCTGGGTGACAGAGATTCCATCTCAAAAAACAAACAAACAAAGCAGTAGTCTGCAGGAAGAGCTGCCGGATTCATTGGAGAACTGAGTGAAGAGTATGAGAGACAGAGTTCAAGAATTACCCTAAGTTTCTGCCCCTGGGTAAATGAATGGTGCTGCCATTTACTTGCAAAATGATTAGATTTAGGGGTAAAATCAGGAGTTTTTTTTTTGTTTTGTTTTGTTTTTTTTCTTTTTTGAGATAGGGCTTCACTCTGTCTCCCAGGCTGGAGTACAGTGGCATGATCTTGGCTCACTGCAGCCTCAACCTCTTGGGCTCAAGTGATCCTCCCACCTCAGCCTCCCAAGTAGCTGGGACTACAGGTGTGTGTCACTACACCCAGCTAATTTTTTTTTTTTTTTTTTTTTTTTGAGTAGTAGTTTACTTTCTCAGGTGTTACATTCTAGGTTTCTATTATTCAAATGGCAATGTCAAGCAGGCTGGTGAATATTTCAGTTTTGAGTTCAATGGGGAAATATGAAAAATAACGTGAAGTAATCCCTTGTAAACAGAAAAATCTCAATTCTATTAAATTTATTTCTTCAGCAAGTATTTTCTGGGCAACTACTGTGTGTCAGGCATTGTACTGGGTGCTTGGGTAGGGTACAGTATGAGTTTGGGGAGGAACAGTTACTACCTTCATGGAGTTTCATTACAATTTAATTAGTTCACCGGTTTCTGAGGCACTTCTCTGAGTACTGTGTAAATATATAGAACCAGCTCTCAAGTGTTATAAATACTGAGATGTTCTCTGACTCAGCAATTTGGAAGAGGCTAGATTTTTTTTTTTTGGAAAGAAAAGAACTATATATAGATTTGGACAAATGAAAGATTTACCCAGTAAAATATCTGAAGACTACCTTAAAATGAATTAGAAGAGACTGTCTCAAACAAATGAATGTTTATGACAAGTCAACATAGTGTAACGGAAAAGCTCTCAGGGCTGGAGGGCAGAAGAGCTAGACATCAGCCTGTTCAGCCCTGACCGGGTCACACCTACGACCTTGACTGAGTCCTTTCCTCATCTGTACTTTGGTTTTCTCTTCAATAAGATGAATCCGTTGGACTTGATACTTGCTAAGGAATTTTCAAAGTGTTAGTATTTTCTTTGCATTATCTCTCTTACCAGACTCTCCAGGTAGTTTTTAGAACATAAAGGCCCAAACTCTCAAGTGGATTCCTCTCTTGAGGGTTCATTTTTCAAAGCAAAAGAAATCTTTTTTTTTCCCTTTTGCATATTGAAATTGCTTTCATTTTTTTTAATGATTGTAAAAAAGTTATGCATGATCAGTACAAAAAATGTAAGTTGAGGAAAGTACAAAGTATAAAAGCTTCCATAATACCACAGAGATAATTATGTCTGCTTTCACCATCACTGTATCTATAGCAGGTATCATACAGCAGGTGCTTTAAAAACAGTTGTTGAATGAATACTGTTTGAATGATGTTGATGTCTGAATATCTTGCAAACATTCTTTTTGGTCTTCAGACCAAAAATAAATATATAAATAAATCCTTTCTCTGGGCTGTTTCACCTCTAAACCAGAGGAACTCAGTATAGCCACCAGAGACTAAAACTGTTAGGACAATATCAAATCTCTTACATTGTAATATGTTTCACAATGACAGTTGATACCTGATGCCAATGGAATGTATGGAAACAATAACATTTAATCCATCATTCTGATGGGCACAATATCAAGGGTGGCTCAGTTTAAGCAATATCAAGAAAGACTGCAAAACAGTACTTCACCTCAAGCAAGAGTGGCTCCGACAGCACTGGGAGAGTAGGCTCTGCCACCTGAACCCTTCCTCCCATACTTGGGCCCTCTTCCTTGCCCACAGCACAAGGATGAGCTTTCTGGGGTACGTGAATTCCACTCAACACATTTTATTGGCAACCTACCATCCGTTTGATTGTCAAATACATTTTCAGTAAACTAATGGTTTTCTGATTACCTCTGAACGAATGATAGCCAGATCTTGTCTGCAGACCCACGCTACATTTTTTACCCAAATGGAATAATTTGCTAATGTTGAAAATCCAGAATATTCAATATGTAAGTCTGAATTTTCAGAATCTATTTTAAAGTTGTTAGATCTGACACCACTGGGCCCTTATCCCACAGAGCAATAACCTAGAGCTGAGGACACAGGCTCTTCCGCTCCCAGAAGTCCACCAATCCCTATTGTCTGACATCCTACATCCCATAGTTTGCTTTGCTCATTTACCTGATATGCTGCTTCTAATTATGTAAAACGTTCAAGGGGTACCTACTACACACCAGGCACTGTGTGAGTCCTGTGAACATAGGTGGATACAGCGCAGGTCCTGCCTTGGAGGAACTCACAACCCAGCGGCGGAACTGACTTGTAAGCCAGTAAATTACAGTGCAGTGTGGTGAGTACAGCACAGCAGCAGAAGCATGCGGAGGGCTGACACACTCTGTCCTGGGAAGCCTGTCGAAGATTTCCTGAAAGTCATGTTTAACCTGGGTTTTGAAGGATGAATAAGAGTTCACCAGGCCGATGGAATAGTGTGGAATATTAGAAACAGTGTTGGCAGTATTAAAACTATACATAAAGTCTGCTGATTAGCGGCCTGTTTGCACAGATGATTCCCTCAAGCTAGCAACCACCTTTCTCTTGATGGTCATTCCATTTCCTCCTTCAGTCAAAACAGGGAAGGTTCACCTCTACCCAGAAGAGCCTGCCTGACTTATCTCCATTCACCTCCAGTTACTTCAACTAAGGCAGCCCTCCTACTCTGGGATAATTGTTTACCTGACAGTGATCCTGTTATTGGAGCTCTCTGTTTTGGAACCTCTGATATTTAAAGAATAGATTAGAACAACAAGCAATTAATACCTACATTGTGTAGAGAACTCTCCCTGGTTTTTGACCTGAAAAGTGGCAAACACAAATTAACTAAGGACAGACAAAGAACACAGTACAGGAAACATTTATTAAGTATCAGGTGTTCAGCTGCTTTTCTTTTCTTTTTTTTTTTTTTTAAATCCCTCCCTCCATCCAACATTCAGTGGGCACTACTATGCGCCAAGCACTGTGCTTGGCACCTGGAGTTCATGCTGAACCACAATAAACTTACTATAGCACGTGACATGGATCAATAAACCCATTACAGTAAGTTTCTTGCTGGAGCAATGTTCAAAGTACAGCAACTGCTTGGGGAAAGGAATGTCAGTTGCTCCCAGGGATACAGGGCAGGTATCATGGAGAAGATAAGTCCAAGCTGCATGTCTCGTGTGTTTCTTACCTTTTTAAATATATTTTTCGGCTGGGGGTGGTGGCTCACGCCTGTAATCCCAGCAATCTGGGAGGCTGAGGTGGACAGATCACAAGGTCAGGAGTTCGAGACGAGCTTGGCCAGCATGGTGAAAGCCCATCTCTACTAAATCTACAAAAATTAGTGGGTATGGTGGTGCACACCTGTAGTCCCAGCTACTTAGGGGGCTGAGGCAGGAGAATCACTTGAACCCGGGAAGCAGAAGTTGCAGTGAGCAGAGATCGTGCCACTGCACTCCAGCCTGGGCAACAGGGCAAGACTCCGTCTCAAAGAAAAATTTTTTTTTCAACATCCACACAAATACACAGACAGTACAATGAATCTCCACATCCCCATTACGTGGCTTTAACAATTAGCAACTGTGGCCACTTTTGATTTATCTACACTCCCATCTGCTTCCCCAACCCTGTGTTTTGTTTTGAAGCAAATCCTAGATATTTTTATCATTGCATCCATGAATACTAAGTTGCATTTCTAGAAAGAAGTGGAAATGCGTGCGTCTTCCACAGCATTCCCCTCCCCACCTATTCTTCTGCCTTGAAAACAGATACTCTGATTCCTGCCAGTGACTCCAAAGCCTTGGCTGGTTCAGAGTAAAGACCCAAGACTTTATTGGAGCCTTTGAGCTGGTCAAAGGAAAAGTATGGGCTGCTTCAGTGAAAATCCCATCCTGTTTTGTCTGGAATGCTGACCATATTCTTTTGGTCCTTGGTCCTCGTAAAATTGCTAATTTTTTAGAGGCTTATTGAGTACCTGGCATTTTCACAAAATGGTAGCTACATTCCACACTCCCATGTGCCCTGAGCAACCTCCAGGGAAACTTGAGACGCTGTGGGGATTGCCCTGCCAGCTGAGCTGACCCGGAGATCTTTTCTGTCACAGCTTTGGTCTTCACAGGGTTGGGTGTCTGAATCTGAACATCTACCTCCCTGCTGCGCACTCCTTCAGCATTTCCTAGCTCTCGCTGAAAGATACAAACATACATGTAGTCACTCACTCAACCCAGACCATTTATCCCTGACTCCCTCTCCCTCATAATTTAAAACAATCCACTATTGTCCAACCCCATCACCCTTTCATCCAGGTCCCCATTCCCTTCTCTCAAGTACTGCAATATCCAAACATCTATCTGCCTTTAGCACATCCATCCCCGCCTTATTCTCCACATAGGGGCTGAGTGACCTGCACAAAACCCCCTACAAAATACCCTTCCGTGGTTCTTCACCCCTACAGAAACCAACCTCCTTCCCACACCAAGGAGGCCCTACAAAACTTCAGGCCTCTTTGGGACTTATCCAGCTTCACCTGCTACATCTCCTTTCTAGCCCATAACGAAAACCATCTTTTCTGGGTCTGTTTTCTCGGGTTTTTGTGCTCTCACCTGAGCAGCTCCTTTTCTCTCATAAATCATGAAGGCTACAGCGATTGCGCCCTTGCTTGCATGCGTCATCTCGCTGAGTCCACAACAACACTAAAAAGTCGTTCTCACTTTGCAGACGGAGAAACTGAGGATGGGCACCTTACCCATGGCCACACCGCTAGGAAGTGGAAAAGCTGCAACCAGGATTCAAACTCGCGGCTCCAGAGGCCGCGGGTTAACCACCGAGTCCTGGCCCGTTCGTACACCCCTCCACCGCGGCAGCGGTCACTCTCAGCCTTCCGCACCTCCCGCAGCAGCCAGGCGGGCGGAGGAAGGAGGCTTCTGATTGGCCGCCTCCAGCGGTGGGGGCGAGAGGGCGGGGAGCGACGGTGAGGGGGCGTCGCGGATAAATAACGTCATGCAGCGACTTCTTAAAGGCGCCGGCCCAGCGCATCGCGGATGGCACAGACGCGTTCCGGGGCTTTCAGCTTGTGCTCAGAGCGTTGAGAGCCGGGGCAGGCGGGTGCGCGCGCGAGACGCGTCCGGCTCCAGGGGTCCGACCTGGCTGTGTCGGGAGCCGGACCCGCAGGCCGAGGAGCGGGCGCCGCGATGGCCGAGGGCAGCGCCGTGTCCGACCCTCAGCACGCCGCGCGTCTGCTGCGAGCGCTCAGCTCTTTCCGCGAGGAGTCCCGCTTTTGCGACGCGCACCTGGTCCTCGACGGGGAGGAGATCCCGGTGCAGAAGAACATCCTGGCGGCGGCCAGCCCCTACATCAGGTGGGGAAGGGGCCGCGGCGGGCCGGCGGGCGAGTGCGGCTGTGCTGTCCGGAGCCGGGGGCGGGGCGGCCGGGCCGGGCGTGGCCCCCAGACCCCGTCCCCTACCCGCGGCGCCGGGGTCCCCGCGTCACCGTTGGCGTGGACTCCCTCCCGGCACGCGCCGGAGCCGGGCCCCACTGGCTGCGTCTCCCGGGCGGCCCCCGTGGCTTCCGGGCCCGCGCTCCCCGTGGGACCCCCGCGCCCCTCGCAGTTGATCCCGGACCCGGGCCTCGATCCCCCGCCTCGTCCTCCCCGGGTCCCACCGCCGCGGCGGGCGCCCGCCCAGAGGCCCCCAGACGCCGTCCTGGGCGGGCCGGGACCCGCACCCGCGAGCTGGGCGGGGCCGCGTCCGGGAAGAACCGCCCCCTCGCCCGTTCCGGGCCCGCGGTCCCCGCTGAAGTTCGCCGGCCGCCTGCCTCTGAATCCACGCGCCGGAGCTGGACCGGCGCCGCCAACCCGACCGGGAGCGCCCTGCCCGCGGGGAGGCCGGACAGACAGCGCCTCACAGGGGGCGGGCAGAGAAAACCCTCTCGGTTGTACTCCTTGGTTTGGGTAGGCGGACCTCCCTGGCGAAATGGTTCTCCTTGTCAAAAGTGACTTTTCGGCTCGCATCTGGTAACTGTTTAAGAGTTACTCGTTGAAGTAAACTGTGGCGAATTCTCAGGATGCAGCTACAACCCGAGGACCCTAAGAGCCTAGCAACTAAGGGCATTGTAATACTTTAGTAAAGCAAAGCTTAACCTGATTAGCCAACTCAGCTAACCAGGTTGATTAAAAGGTTGGTAAGACAGTGCTTATACAAACGTATCAAATCTTGCAGGAAACTATCTTTTCTTTCAGCAACCTTCTTGCAAACTAGGTTGCTGTTTTAATAAAAAGGAAGGAGGGAATGCTAAAAACTGGAGAAACTGTTTAGTAAGCTGGTTAAATATAGGCCAGTGGTAGAGAATATCACTACAATTGACAGGTCAGAAAGAGCAAAATGATGTGTACGGTATTCTTAGCGCTTTGTCCCGGCAGAAACCAGCACACACGCTACACTTCATCCTTTGCATTGGGAGGCATTTGTGCTAACTTAGAAGCAATCCAAGTGCTCTTCTAACTTCTGGTTTCTCCTGGATTTCTTTTGTAAATCGATTTGCATTCTTTGGCAGGGGTCGGGGGTGGGGGCTGGGGAATCATCGTTAGTACAGAATTTGGATTGCTAATGTGACAGACAACTTCTAGCTGGCAGTTGAGAGGTTTAAGCAACCAGTCTCAAATTGGAATAAGCGGACCAAAGTCTTCCCTGTTGGGGCAAGTGCTGAAGAAAACTACTTTATTAGATGCATTATTGTTGTTTTTTAAATTGCATCCGTCTGACTTAAAAGAAAGAAATTGCAAATCGCCAAACACATGCTTGCCATCCTCGTTCATTTTTCTCCATAGCACTTAACCACTGTGATATACCCCGTATTTTACACATTTTCTTTGGTGTTCTTTCCAACCACATCGTGAGCTCATTGAAGCCGTGGTGTTTTCTTTTATTCACTGCTTTACTCCTTGCACTCAAAAACAATAATGCCTGTCAGTTAATGTATTGAACGAATGACTGGCTTTCTTTCTACCACTGCAAATTTGGACTTTAGAAAACTGGCTGCGTTGCGTTTTCATGGTAGACATTCAGTTACACCTAATTGAGAAGCGCACTGGATTCAGGGTTTGAAGACTGGCTTTATGCATCCAGCTGTTACACTTATTAGCTGTGAGTTGCTGATAGATGACACCGCTTCAGCTCACTAATCTGTTGAATGAGGGATAAAATGAGTGTTCTAATTTAATCACTGACCCACCTGTGAAGAAGTATGTTATGGTGTTTTGAACACCATATAGGAATCCATTTCTTTCACTTTATAAGTAAGAAAATAAGGGCTCAGCAGGCATTAGTGACTGGTGTTACAAGGTTACTAGTACTTAATGGTGTCCAGCTAGGATTAGGCTCCAAATTAATTGCGCCTGGCCTCCTACTCTTACCCTACCTACCAAGTTACAGCATTACATGTATTTCACTGTTTTCTTTGTGTAAACTCCATTGTGAGCTGGCTTACAATATCTTGTAATTAAAATGCTTATCAAGCATTTTCACATCCTGTCTCATTTTGATTTCCGTTTTCAACCATCTTTAAAGGCAAGGCAGATCTTTTTTGACATTTTGTGAATAAACATAAATCAGTGTATATGTTTCATCAATGACAGATTAATTGCTTTAAGTTTATTTGGCTATTGAAGTAATAGAATGTCTTGGATTTTTTTAAATTATCAATTTCAAAGGTGTTTCAAAGTTACTTGACAAATCTATATTACTAACTAGAAACAAACTCATTAATTTTTTATTTTTACTGGTAATTTTAATACCAATAAGATTGGGCTTTTATAATGTACTAGTTTTGTTTGAACAGTACTTCAGAGACTTCTTTTGAAACGAAATGTATTTATGTATTCTAGAACTTGATGTTTCTTACCTTTCCCTTTTGAAACTTAAGTGTTTAGATCAGTGATATCATTAATCTGTGAATTGGATGTTCAAAAGTTTGGTAATCTCTGAGGTTTTATAAAAATCTGATTTTGTTTAGTGTCTGTGTTCGGTCCAGTGTTGGTAACGGTCATAAGTGGTTGTGTGATTCTGTGGTTTAGAAGCAATGTTATGTATGGCCTGGCACGGTGGCTCACACCTGTAATGCTAGCATTATGAGAGGTGGAGGTGGGAGGATCATTTGAGGCCAGGAGTTGGAGCTAAGCTGGGGCAACATAGTGAGTCCCAGTCTCTACAATAAATAAATCATATACACAAAAAACAGGAGCAATATTATCTGTTGCTCGCTATGTGCCCAACAAAGGGAGCCACTCCAACTCTGTCACACTGGGAATTAAAGTAACTTGTTTGGCTGACTTTCTGCTTTATATAGAAAAGTCTTTCGACTTACTGGTTTAATCTTTTACTCTGCTTTATCTTTGGTCTAGCTTTTGTTTTTCCTACTGATGTCCTTAGCAATCATACCATATTAGAAGGATTTTAAATATAAAAGGAAAAAGCCAGAAAATTCAACTTTGGCAGCAAACCCTCATGATCAGCTGAAAGAAGACTGACAGTCCCAGTTTATGTAGGGAGAGCATGTGTCCTGCAGCCCTAGGATGAGGCTGCTCCAGGAAGGAGGCAGGACATCCCACAGTCCCTCAGCTCAGTAAATGGCATACCCCTTTCCAGCATGCTCCGAGCTTTCCCTCCTTTTCATTCCTTGGTGAGATTTTTCCCTTTGGTTTGTTGGGGAAACTAAACCTAAAAGTAGTTGACAGGCCGGGCACAGTGGCTCATGGCTGTAATTGTAGCACTTCGGGAGGATGAGGTGGAGGGATCCCTTGACCCCAGAAGTTCCAGGATGCATAGAGCTATGACTGTGCCACTGCACTGCAGCCTGCCTGGGTGACAGAGTGAGACCCTGTCTCTAAAAAAAAAAAAAAAAAAAGTAGCTGACAACCTTTAAGAATGGCGAAACTGAATTCATAGTCGTAAGCACCCACCAGAGCATTTCCTTTCTCAGCAATTCTGAGACCTTCTGGAAAAGTTCTCTGGGGCTTGTAGGAAATTTCTTTTTCTTTTGAATATTACAGTTTGCTCTCCTTTTGTGTCTCCGGCTCTTCCAATTCTGGCACAATCGATCTGATGCAAAGTTCAGACCTATATCTCTCCTGAGCTGTGGTTCTTGGGGAGTAATGTATGTGAAAAGGATTTGAAAGTGAACTACTGTGTGCTTCTGCAGTGACATTATGGTGGCTCTGTACTGGTTTGCAGTCCTGTGTTCACTTGTAAAATTCAGGGTTTTCTAGAGACCTATTGCAACAATAGTTCGTTTGGCTTTCCGTCCTGGAGAGAAAATGAAAAAAAGATTCCTAAGATTTTTTTGGATCCTTTGATGAGTCAGCTAAGAATGTAAATGGCTTTTTTCTCCACCCTTATTTTTGAGAGAAAGCAGGTCTAATAAGGATAGAGTGAGACACTGGGCCTCGAATCCAGCCTAGGTCATGTTGAGCAACTTTTCTGGGCCCTCGCTTTCTTATCTGTGAAGTGAAGGTGGTTGGGCTACATGGACAGCAAATCCCCTTTAAGTCTGAGTTACGTAGCTCTATGCTATTTATGTTTTGCTTCGTGTATGTGCTGTGAGGAGGAGATTCTGTTTCTGTTTTTGTAGCTTTATTGTATCATTTAAAGTTAAAGCATTTCCCTTCCCCTGTCATACAGGACCTGATTGGGTATTCTGCTGTATAAATCCAGGCCTGTAGAGTTGTATTGCAACAAGCATTTATTTTATGCTGTTAATCTGGGTATGTTCCAAGGCCTCATTATTGATGAGCCTGTTTTGCCATTTAAATATAGAGTTTGACTCATAGATGTTGCTGATGAAACTACCTAAGGAGACTAATATGATCTCTGTAGGAGATCCAAGTTTCATAGTCACATGGACATCCTTTTCTTTCTTATTTACTTATTTATTTATTGGCTATGTGAAAGACGCAGTGTAGTTTAATATCACATGGGCACTAAAGTCCATGAGTACTATGTGGTGTGTGGAGAGCATCCTTTGTGTCCCTAGTTTCCTTTTCTTGATTAATTTGTGTGAATAACTGCCCAGCCTCTTAGTAGATTCTTTGCTTCCCTGCTAATCCTGAGAATACGCTACCGAGGCTACAGCATTCA